GTGCTAGGCTTTTACAGCAAGACCAAAGACTTGCCCAGGAGCGGTCCCAGTTGAGAGACCTTCTGTGGACTGTGGTTGCAAGCAGTGCCTGGAGAGGGTTTGGGGCAACGGTGCCAGTGTCTGTGCTAGCTCTGCACAATGGGAGTTGTTGGATTCTTTGCCCTTGAATCCAGTGACACACCAGGTACCAGCCCTGCTCCTGCAGGGACACGGCTTCGGTGTATACCAGCTGGGTTTCACTCATTTCTCTTCCACCCTTCGCACCATAGAAGCCCTTGATAGTTCAGTGCCTTGCAAGTAAGTGTGGCTCCTCCATAGCAACATCTTGCATTAGTGGCAGAACAGGACAAGAAATAAGGTTCTAGGTTCCCCTTTTACTCCATTTTCTTTTGTTCTGCTGGATTTTAAATCCTATAGTTCCACTTCAGTCTTCCCTGATCTGCCTCCTTTTCTGTCCTGCAATACTTGTGTGGATCCCTTCTCCCCCCTCTAAAAAGATGAAAATTCTTAAGAACATGGTTCAGGGCCTGCAGAAGAGAAAAATAAAAAATGCAAGATAGTCAGCAACCCTTACTTGAGCACAAAATTTAATTTTTTCTGGAGAACATTTGTGAATTTTAGCTCAAAGCACCCACTTCACCATACGCAAAAAATTGTGTCGGTAATAGGATTGCAAAGGTCATTGTTATTGTGGGGTTTTGTTTTGAGACAGATGCTTATCTCCTTGCACTAGACTCTGGCAGTGTCCTTCCTTGTCACTTCCATTAAGGCTGACCTATAAATCCCAGCAATCCTTTGCAAGGTTGCTCAACATTTACATTTCAACATGGTTCCTCCGTTTCCACTTCCTTGAGACTTGAACATGACATTTACACATTTACGATCTGCTTTAGGCTTCCCTTGCCATTGCAACAGCAGTGTGTTGGCTGCAAGAACTTTGAAAGTTCCCGTGCCTGCCACAGAGAAGCCTCTGAAGTTGAGGCATATGCAAAGCCTAGATTATACCTCCCTTCTGCCAGGTTTAGACTCTGCGGAATTATCTAGAAAAAGCAGCATACTGGCTCTTAAAAGAACCCATTATTTTATGGCTTACTTTCTCTTGCCAATCAAAATATCAGAAGCAATGCTCAGGCTTCAGTTCTGACTCTGAATTCTCTCCTTTTTCAGAAATGTCAGTACTTCATGAACGCAGCTACCCGGACTCTAGGCACTCCCAGCCCGAATTCTAGACAATGTATGACTGAACCCTGAAGCAGACCCAATCAAATACATCAGTATATTTTGCCAGAGGCCAAACTCCCAGAGGAAAAACTCTCCCTGGTGACCAGATCACCAGTCCCTGCAGCAGGCAGCACTGTGTCAAGCCTTCCCCAGCCTGGCTGAAAGTTGCTTGCTGCTGAATATTGCATAGTGACTCTCCTGTCCTTTCCACTTCCAGCGGACAGGATCCCAATACAGGCTGTATTTTCCTTGCATCCCTCTCCCTTCCTTGGCCTCACAGGAGTGCCTCAGAAGAGCAGCAATAACTTCTCTTTGGAAAGCAAAACTGTGGGTTCCGCTCTCAATCGTCTTCCTTCACAGAGCTTCACGTGGCAGTTTCATTGCTTTCCTGGTAGCACTGTACGCAAAACCTACAATTTCTGACATTTCGCATAAATCTTTTTACAATTTATATTCTTGGGAAGACTTAAAGAGAATGATCAACAGCAGGTCTACTGACATCAACAGCACTTTCATTCTAATCAACTGAATTCTAAATACAAAAAGGCTATTCCCAGCTCAGGGATCAGTATGGTAATTGCCTATTTGATTAGTAGTGAAGGACCAGTACTGTTGCACAGTCTTACGTGTCTTGCTTACCTAGCTCAAACTAAAGCACAGTGGCTGTAGAGTGGTTCAAAGAGTAGCTTGTGCAGCATAAAGCAACTGGTATTTAAGAAACAGTGCACATTAGAGTGCTCAAAAGCACCTTTAGTACCAGCTGGGGGCTTGCAGCCATGAGAGCAAACGAATTTGGTACTAACACGAGAAGTGGGAATTCACACATGCCCTTCAAACAGATGGTGGAAAGTGGCAATAGCCTAAGACTAGCTTTAAGAAGTAAAATTGGAGCCTACAGCAGCATCAAGCAGCTGCAATGGAGCCGACAGGATGAGCATCTCAAGGGCAGGTCCTGTATTTAAACAAACTCTATACTGCCAACTTCAGACCAACGACAATATGGCTACCTGGGTATACCTGGCATGCAGGCCTTAAAAGACTTGCAATTAATTATACAGTCCCTTTAAAAAACTAGTTCCTCTAAAACTCTGCACCAGTATCTGACGTGGCATATTAATCTGATTAAGCCTCTGAATTAAGTAAACTAGGAATGCATTAATTCAATACAGACTGGTAAGAAGCTCAAGTTGAAGTAAATGCTCACCAAAAAGTCTGTAGCATGACTAATTTTCAAGCAAATCAACACTTCACTTTGTTTAATATGAAGAACCCACAGCCCAGACAGCCCCATCTTGCAAAAGCATTAGAAGTCCTGGTACTAGATAGCAGATGTGCAACATGTTTTATCCTTTTTTTTTTTTTTTTTTCTACCTCCTTCAAAGGCCTTGCTAAAATGCTCTACAAAGCTGCAGTTTGAGTAACTTATTGCTGATAAAAGCAGGTGAGAGAGGAGATCAAGCTTTCTGATACTACAGTGCTTGGCCTATCAGAATCGCAATGCAGTATATTTTTGCCCCAGACGTACTGTTCTTCCACATGAAAAAGCCTCTCTGAGAGGTCCCTCAGAAGAAGTCAGTCATACAATGCTTCCCTTTTACTTTAAATTAATTACAGCAGCTTTACTCTTGTGGTAGAGCTGAGCTCCTCATTTCTAATTGTACATAGGGTCACCCTAGCACATTTTGTGATCACTGTACCTTGTAGCAAAGATGTTGCAATTGACCAGAACGTTCACACAACAAGTTTCAGAGACAGAGGTTAAGCATCTCCTCAAGGAATAAGGGAACTGATATAAAAAGACTTAACGACTGTAAATTGGTAATTAGAAATTTCAAAGAGCGATTTGAAATATCAGGGAACCTATTGCGTCATTGTTTTATAAAGAGTATTTTAACATTTTAAACCTCTTAGTATCATTGAGGACAACCAGAATCCAAATAGGGTGGCTTACCCTTTCAGCTGCTTTATGTCCAAGACTGCTGAAAAGAACACAAGCTTCTAAACATTCCCAGAGCGTTCAGCTTTGCCTTAGCTTTGTGCTTGTTAACCTTTCACCGCAAACTGGTCCCTGCGATCTGACAGTAACCTGGCAGTCATCATTCTTCCTCCTGCCACATACATGATTTTTTAAGGTATAGTTCAGTTGGGAAGATTCTACTATTAATGTACCAACCCCTTTCTTACCCTAGATCATGCTTCCTGCTGAAGTTCTGGGGTATTGCTTTCCATATTAAGGGGTCTTAAAACAGTCAAAGAAATTTAAAACAACGTATAGACTATCACACAATAGCTTACTTAAAACATTAAGGTTCATGCCTATCAGAGAGGATGATAGAGCTGTATTTTAATTGTTTTCATAATAAAGTTGTACGCCTTCATCAAATGGATTTGATTCTCATTAAAACACTGCAAGTGTGTTACAGAACGTTCAATAATTAGACTACACATTCTTGCCAGAGAAACTGGCAGTGCAACCCTTTCTTTCTGTCTATTGATCTTAATCACCCAGATTAAGTGCCATTAAAAGTAATTTCAAATGACTGTAACATACACTAAACTGGATTTCCTGGACTTAGGAAAAGCTGCAGCACGTTACTCAATTCAACACAAAGCGTTGTCCAGGATCTCCAAGATAATGAATGGCTTCAACCCCTCCAAATCTGTCGTTCCCAATAAACAAGACAAATTAATTCATGAGCAGGTCTTTTCTGGAAGTGGAACAAATCTCTCCTAACAGGGAAAGTTAAGCACATTAGAGGACAAGATGAAAAAAAGCGGTTGCCATTCACGTTGCTGTAGTCTGGAAGAATTCCTTTTACCACAAGAGCAAATGAGTTTCTAAAAAGTAGGTAGTTCTAAAAAAAGATTCAAGCCAGAGATTAAGCACTTGTTTTAACTACACTCACTATTTGATTTAGTAAAATTAATCCATACAAGGTGATCTTCCAATGTTTGCTTTTGAAAGGCAGTTAAAACTAAACCGCTGCAGACTTAGGCCCACTGTTACATGTAGGAGGCTGCTTGCACCTACTCCATGCAGCTGAGCTAATACGAAATGGAAGTAGCCACACCTATGAAGCCACAAAGAATAAATGCATTCCAGAACAACTGTTCTTTGTTTTATTGAGTGACTGAAGCAGGACTATAATCCAGGTATATTTAAATCAAGTGTTGGTCCACTCATAATCAAAAAGAACTAGTTTTTTTTTATAACAACATCAACACAAATGGAAGGAATATGAAGCATCGTAATAGGAACTTTCAACTGTACGTGACATTAGACCATGATCAGACTGGTGCTATTTCAATATTTATAGACTTTCCACTGCATAGACCAGCCACACTAGTGTTATTTACCTCCAAATCATTAAAGTTCTAGATAAAGGATCCTTCTGTCTACAGCTCACATCCAAGCCATCAACATGAGATCAAAATGCCATTTGTGCCACTAGAATTGTAGTCTTCTAGAAATATTTCTATATTTAGTATTTTACTAAAGAATAATTACTACCCTCTCTGAAGTTACATATAGCCATTATAAATATTTACATCAAACATTTACAGCTGGTTCATAATATACAACACAACAATTTAGCTACAATTTCTCATCTTCCAGTGTAAAAGTTTCAAGCAACATGTTGCCATCGTAACTTCAATTTATCTGTTTTGCACACAGTCACAGGCAGTACAGGGCATTTCAAAAACTCATTGTACATGGTAAAAAAAAATGGAATGATGCTACTTTAATAACAATTAGTTTGGAGATTGTTGGGGTTTGGTTTTTTTAAACAAGCAGATTTCAATTTCTAACTCCCATCTGGTGCTACTACTAACATTTAAAATAGGCTTGAGAGGGAAAAAAATACCTAGAAATAAATACACCTTTAAAAAAAATTCCACAATTAACCATGTCAGAATATTTGTTTTCCACAGAGTTTAAAGGAGACCTTACTCTTCATCACTTCCTTGTGCTGGAATACAGTGTAGTTCAATCCATTCTTATCTTCTGATTTGTCATCCTATAAATAATGCTGTCATACCCAGGATCCATGTTCCAGAGGTTGTAGGAGATAACTATCACAGCTAAAGCAAGACCTATCATCATCCACAGAATAATGTTGAAGATTACAGAGTAGTTGTAGTTATATGGATAGGCGAGGTTATATGGATTTTCTGTGTCGCTCTGTAAAAAAGAGAACAAGTGTATTACTTCAAAGTTAGCTTGCATACAGAACACATTCCAACTGCATTGAAAGTCTGAGCAATCCGAATACAAGAGATGTATGTTTGTCTAGACAATTCCAATGCTAGGGCACAAAATGCAAAAGTGATTATGTGACTGACATTAATGGAATCCAAAGAAGTGGGCTGACAGGAGCCTCATGATAAAATCCAATGAGGACGAGCACAAAACCCTGCACCTGGGACTTAAGAATAACCCCATGTGACAGCAGAGGCTGGGGACTGACCAGCTGCACAGCAGCTCTGCAGAGGGACCCATGGGTCCTGGTGGACAAGGCAAACAGGAGTCAGCAGTGTGCCCCTGCAGTGACAAAGGGCAACAGCATCCTGGGCTGCATCTGGAGCGTAGGCAGCAAGTCAAGGAAAACAATTTTTTTCCTCACCCACGAGGCAGGATTTGCATGCACTATTGCACTGGGGAGAAAACAGCAGAAATGCAAACTCTAACAAGACATAAGGGAAAAAGTTTTCACAGTGCAGGTGGTTAAGACTTTAGAACAAGCTGTCCAGAGAGGCTCTGGGACTTCCAGCCATGGACTTTTCAAGAACTTGGCTGGACAAGGACCTGAGCAGCCTGGTCTAACTCCTAAATTAATCCTGCTTTGAGCAGTAGGTTGGACTAGATGACCTCCAGAGGCCCTCTTCAACCTAAAGTACTATATGATTAAGTGAAGATCAAGACAGGTAAACCAACCTCTTCACATCCACGCCTAAATCATAGTCAGTATTCTAGTCCTTAAAAAGAAAAGTTAGGTTCAAGTGAAGAAGTGACACGGTTTGGATCACTTTTATTAAATGATATCTAGAAAAATGTGCGTCTACTACCTGTGAAGACTGAAGAATGGAACGAGTCTTCCTCGTGAGGGGAGAATTAAATGTCTTTACAGCGACCACTTCTACTACTGCATTCCCGCTATACAGATTAAACATCTCATCTGCAAACTGGAAAAGCAAAAGTGATTTAACTGAAAACCCACACTGCAGCCACGAATTAAGGAGAGTTTTTTTAGCAAGGTGTACTAAACCATAAGATGTCAGCTTCAGGAATAAGAAGCTTATGGAAAGTTGTAAAAATTGACACTATTTTAGAGTTCCACTAAGTGCCAACTTTCACCTGGTTTACAACACTTCTTTAAAACCCCTCAACCAC